ACTTTCTTCTCTATTTGCACAGCTTTTTGCCGTGTCGGCAAGGCTTTCCCATTGCCCACCGAGGCAGGCCGGCCAGGGACTGTGGTTCCCGTCAGCTGGAGAGAGAGGCTCCAAGAAGTGAAGGGATTTGGGTTTTCCGAGCTGGTCCAGCCCTCTGTAAATTACATGGCTGCTGAAGCCTTAAACATACATTGATATTAAGCCGTGTGTTTCAAGTGTCATAGGTTTTGCTTTCCCCATAGGTTAAAGAGGTCACACCAGCTAAGCTCTGGCCTCTGGGGGGCTCCTGGGTCCTTTCGGGGGAACTCCTACCCTCCTACCCAGGTGCTAGGGAGTCAGGGAAAGCAGGTATCGTTTATGGAATGCGTACCTGTCAATCACTCGCTAAACTGTAAGTTCCAGGAGGGTAGGAACCATCTCTCTTTTTTATTTTTTATTTGGGAATATTTTGAGGTTCACAGAAAAGTTGCGCAGATAGCACAGAAAACTCCCACCTAGGCTGAGCTGAGCTCTCCCTGAATCCGATGCCTTACACTCTGTCTTTTGAACTCTTCCGTGTCCGCCTGGAACCGAGACCCAGCCCCTCCGGGGCACGAGGCAGAGCTATCAAATCCCACTGCAAACTGGGCTCTCCACCTCTCCCCCTCTTGCTAACTGAGCTCTCCTCCTCTCTCCCTCTTGCTAACTGAGCTCTCCACCTCTCTCCCTCTTGCTAACTGAGCTCTCCTCCTCTCTCCCGCTTTTACGGGGACAGTGGCGACGCGTTCACACCCAGCTCTCTCTGGCTCCGGAGCTTATTCACTTCTCTGCCGTGTCCCGTCAGAAACCATTTCTTTGGGGAAGCCTAAAATTCCACCCTTGGGCCCAACCGGGTGCCTGCCAGGGGTGACTGGAGGCTGGGGTGTGCCCGCTTGCCACCGTGGGTGAGCGGCTTCCCTCTGCTCTTTCTGCCTTGGAGGGGAAGAAATGTGGGGGACGGTCTAGCGGAACCAGTGGTCTGAACCTTCGCCCTCCGGGGCTGGGGAAGAGGGGCGCATGCACAGAGCAGGTGTTCCTCCTCCCTCTTTGGGGGCCTGGCAGTTGCTTCTGAAATCCGATTCCTAAGGCCAGGGGGGTGACCTTTGGTCCACTTCCCGGCATTCACCTGCCGTCCCGCTGCTCCCAAGAAGCGCCCGTTCCAAGAGTGGGCGAGCTGGCAAGACACTCTGGTCATGGTCCCACCCTGTCCACGAGGCCTCTTGGTCGGCATGAGCAGGCAGCCCTGGTCCAGAGCGGTGACACTCATTTAAGAGGTGAGGTCAGGGAGTTCTTTTTAAAATGATGAAACACTTGGGCTCTTGGGAAAGCGGGTTTTTCGGGACCGGAACATCCCTATGATGGTCGGAGGGCTGCTTCATGATGGACGCAGGGCCGGGAGCGCTCCAGAGCCGGAGCAGGGCTGTCTGTTTCCCCAGCAGTGGCCGCCCCAGAAGATTTGAAGGGGCATCTTGACAAGGCTGCTGGTCACGTGGAGGATTGCCAAGTTTCTCCCCAGCCTGCGGTTGGGGAGTGTAAGGGGAGACTTCTGAAGCGCATGCTGTTTTGCAGTGATGCCTGTTGACACAACAGACCCCTTGGAATCCATCCTCCTAGCAACAGGGCTTAGTACTGTTGCTAGGGCGGGGAAAGTGGGTGGGGGGAGGCAAAGGCACGGGCCGGACGTGGCCGAAGCGAGGACTCCAAGGGCTGGGTGTGCTTCTCCCGATTTGCAGGAGTGGCTACCCGATGAAAGGGGGACGATCTGTTTTTCATGCTTTCGACAAATATTTATGAAGTGCCTCCCCGTGCCAGGTGCTATTTTGGGCGTCGACTCTGGGCTCCTGCACCTCATCATTCATAAACGTCTGGCTGTTTTAGTTACATGCAACGTGGCAGGGAGATGGCAGGGACCACAGGCTGCCTTTGTCCACGGTCTGGTGAGGCTGCACAAGGTAGAGGTCAAGGGTACAGGCTCCAGACCCAGGCCATCTGGGCTCAAGCCTTGTTTCTGCCACGTCCAAGCTGTGTGACCCTAGGCAAGTGGCCTGACCTCTCTGTGCTCAGGGATCTTGTCTGCAAAATAGGGTTGTTGTAAGGATTGAATGAGTGTAAACACGGGAAGCACTGCAGAGTACTTAGCCCACAGAGATTGTTTATAATCTTAAGTTTGCTATTGCTGTTACGGCAGAGAACGTGCCAGTAGGCGTTGGGAGGTCATTGCTGTTGTGGAAAGGGCGCTGGACTTGAAGGCGGGAGACCAGGCCAAGCCACCGCTCGCCCCGATTCTCAGCTGGAGAACGGAAAACATTGTCTGATCACCTGTTTAGCTCACAGTGATTTCTACTAAACTTGGAGAAGTGCAATGTGCCAGTCCCATGGATAGTGCCATTGCTTGCTTCTAATGCATCCAGATGAGTTAGATAATGTTTGTGTTGTGGGGAGCTGGTGTTCTTCCAGAATAGCTTTCTATTCGGGGGAGGGGCAGGGCGGAAAAGGGAGAAAGGCCCACCCTTCTTTCCTCTTCCAAGGCCAATCCGAGCCCACGTCCCATCTCCGAGGACTGAGGCAGTTCGGCATGTGGCCCCGCCCCCTTTGCAAAGATCCGCCTCCTGTTCCATCTGTTGCTCGTGTCAGTGTCTTTTCCGAATTACTTTACAGTAGCCTTGATTGTGGAATAAAAGGCAGGAGATTTATCTGTTAAATTATTTGAGGAAGAATTCACTGCAGATAAGGTGACCGTGGCGGGAAGGGCAGCCTGGCTGCCGAAGGTGTTTGGAGCCGAGGCCTGCGTGGCGGGCGGAGGAGCAGGAGCTAGGTCACGGTTTTAAACAGTCAGGGCCCCGATATGAACGTGCCACTCACTGTGTACTGTGATTCCCGAGTTACCATAGGAAACGTTTGAAATCATGCATCCAAAGGAATAATATCTTGTAGATGAAGCACTTTCCGCACAAGAGTCAGGAATACTTTGGTGCTCGCATTTGGTGGTTTCAAGTTTGTACCTTCTTGCCCTGGCTGGTGTGGCTCAGTGGATTGAGTGCCAGCCTGCGAACCAAAGGGTCACCGGTTCAGTTCCCGGTCAGGGCACGTGCCTGGGTCATGGCCAAGTCCCCGGTTGGGGATGTGCAAGAGGCAACCAGTTGATACATCTCTCGCTCATCCATGTTTCTCTCCCTCTCTTTCTCCCTCCCTTCCCATCTCTCTCAAAAATAAATAACACATCTCTTTTAAAAAGAATAAAGTTTGTACCATCTTGATACTGTCCTATAGGGATGATTGTCACCCTGGACGCAGACTGGGAGACTGAGGCCCTGAGGACATGGCAGGGGCTGTCATTACAGGGAGTGGCTCAGCCACTGATCCCTCAGCAGGGCGGCCGAGCCACCCTGGGCCAGCAGTGCCCTCTTGGGTGACGAATCAGCACCAGCCCTCCCTGACCCCTTCTACACTTTCCCATCGAAGGGATCCAACACAGGTGCCTTTTCCTGGCTGTGGCGTCAGAGAGAAATGGGTCCATCCAAACCCTCCTGCTGTGCGATCATGGCCACACACTTAACCTCTCACAGCCCTAAAGAGGGGCACGATCAGCACCTCCCTCATGAGACTGTCGTGAAGACGCAAGGACACGGTTCATGGCAGGATACTGGCGCAGCGCCGGCCGCTTAGTAAGTGCTCAGTGAACATCCTCTGTTCTAGCAAAGGTGAACGAAGCTTTGCTCATTGCAGTGTTGTGTTAGCGCCGGAACGTATGGACCCCCGAGAGCTGCGGCATCTTTTATATTTTACCTTCGGGCACAATTGCGTGAACATAAGCCGCCAGCCACTCAGAAAAACGTACCAGACGGGTATACGTCTCATCTGGGCTTTTCTCCACCTGCTGGCTCCACTCTCTCTGCCTGCAGTGACTGGAAACAGGCTGCCAGTCTCTCTGCATTCATAGGCTACTGAACCCGCCACCAGATTCTCCACCCTGTGGTTCTCCAGGGTGTCCCAGGAGGACCCGGCTGGACCTGAGTCTTGTGCACACCCTGACGGGTGGGGCCGTAGGGTACCACGGATTGGCGTCTCCCTGAGAACCTCCGGAACAGAGGGTAGGGGTGGAAGAGTTCCGTGGAACAGGCAGATCCAATCCAGTCCACGGGTGTGTGTTCTTCAGGGAGGGGCCTTCTGAGGCTAGTGCCTGCGTCAGGGAAGACGAAATAAAGGCTACCCCCTGCTTTGGAAAACACTGCTTGGGATTATAAAGGCCCTTTCCTCATTCCTGGTGTTTAGATTATGCTTGGAATAGCATCACTTAAATGGAGGCTTTTAAACATCTCTCATCTCTTTCTGTCCTGTGATCTGAAGTTTTGACTGTGCTTTATTTTTTGCATCTTGGTTTTAAAAATCAACTAAACCGCAGACAAGCACGTTGTAGGGGTTTAAAAAAAAGGTGACCAATTCTTGGAGTACTTAGGACCTCAAAGGGGTGGCCGTATGTTTCCAGGGGCCCGTCATTTCCTTCCCTCATTCTTCGCCCCCCACCCAGGTTTCCAGGTGATTCTGGGAGTGAAAACCATGGTTGGGGGCGGGGGAAGGAATGTGTGCCTTCATCTGGCTGGTGACCCAAACAAACTGGATGCTTTGAGATCTGAAGTTAAATATCCCTACTTTCTCCAGGGAGCAGAGGAAGCCCCCATGGGCGAGGAAGGAGGAGTCCCCAGTCTTGGTTTCTTGCTAAAACAGCAGCCCGCCTCACCGGGAGTCACTTGTTTAACTGTGTTTCTGCCCCGTTAGAGGAGAGCAGGGGTCACGTTTGCTCTGCCCACCGTTCGTCCCCCGGTGTAGCTCTGTGCCAGCACATGGTCGCGCTCGGTTGGAGGGTAAAGCCCTCAGGCCGTCTGGCCCTTGAGTGCGGCGGTCAGAGCCCACTGACGACTGCTTTTGTGCTTGCAGAGATTCCTATTTGACCTCCTCTCCCATTTCTCTTTCCTTGGGCCCAGAGGACCTCGTCCGCTCAGAGCCCGGGACCCCTACGACCACCTGGGAATCGTCAGACTATAGCAGGGAAGCCGGAGGAGAAGGCCAGGAGCACTGACCGTGGAGACTTGCCCAGGTAGGAGCTGGGTCCAGGGGAGCATGGCCCGCTCACCGCCTGCTCAGCCTTTGCTTTGGAAAACTTACCCCACGACCCGTGACGTGTTCCTCAGTGGCGAGATATCCAAAACAGTGGTTTACAGACCTTTCTGTGGTAGCCCAGACCGGCGTGATTGGAAAATTAAGTTTAAAGTTAGTGTTTTTCTGACCCAGAATGAAATGAGTAATTACAGGCTTCCATGCCAGCAACGCTCCAGGTGGTTCGTGGTCACTGTCAGAACTTAAAATAAAGGAGGCGGAAGCTGTTCCGAGGAGCTTCTCAGGAGCATCACATCTGTGGCTACGCTGGGGTTGGCTGTGGGGGAGGAAGAAACTTTCCTCTACCCTTCTAGGTTCTTCCCTCTGGTCTAATGAAATCAACCAAATTTAATTATTTGCATACGTATGGGAATCCCACACATGAAAGATCCAGAGACCCCCCCTCCGTCCCCATGAGAGGTTCCGAGACAGAAAGGTAAACTGAGGTGTACGTGGCGTCCTGAGCTAAGGGGGAGGTCAGAGCCCCGGGGTTTCGGAGGGAAGGAAGGTCATTGCAGGACGATAACAAAAGCAGATATTCAGTAATTATATGTTCACCCTGCTGTATAGATAGGGCATAAAGAGTTATCTCTGGTTACAACTCTTATGATGGGCAAAGCCCTTAATTTAAATTCTTCTAGGTGGTTAAGTGGGGTGCGGGGGGGCAGAAGTTTCTCTTGAGCCCACAGGGTCTCGATGGCCTTTAGAGCAAAATAACCCTCATGCCGAAGTGGCTCATCTTGGGGAGGCCTGCCCCGAACCCCTCCACTGCAGGCACCAGAGGGCGAGACAGAGGGTTCACAGGCGTGTTGCTCCAGTGACCGGCGTCCTCAGTCCCGGGGCGGCGGGCGGATGCATTCCAGAAACCAGCACGGCCGCATGGTTGCAGTGGAATGTGGCCAGGGCAGCCGGCACCCACGGGTCTGTGGCTCCTCGTTGACCCACAGTCAGGTCCCGGCTGTTGGGAAGGAGTCCCATAGACTCCTCCCAGGGGTGTTCAGCACCCACAGTTTTGGGGGCCTTCACAGCAGAGGCCCAGCAGACATGAACGTTCAGTCCCCAGAAAGGGCACAGGCCAACGACTCTGGAGACCATTAATAATGGCCAGGGGGTCGAGCGCGTGACTTGGTGAGGAAAGCCCTCCTGGAAGATTAAGGCCCAGCTGCAGGGAGGCTGTAATTACAAGCCTTAAATGAACGGATGAACAGGAGCTCCAAGGAACAAATGTGAACAATGGAGTGATAGGCCCCTCCCCCCGCCCCTGCCATAGATAATGGACAGTGAGACTTTGGGTCATGAATGCTTTGCAATAGCATTTTAGCTTAAGAGTTGAAGCTCCACCTGTTGCTTTGGCTTCCCACTGTGGCTGGTCATGGGTGAGTGAGAGTGACCCCTGGTGGCAGGAATTTTTGTGCCCGGCTTGTCTTTTCTGGGTGGGGCTTCTAGAGGAGGCCCTTTGACCCTCCTGGCGTGAACCTCTGGGTTCTCTAGGGCACAGGCGATCAGATGGGGCAGAATCAGAGAACATGCCCTTGATCAACACCTGTGACCTCTGTTCTACTTGCACAGGCTTTTTATCAGGGTAACCCCGGACCAAAGATTTTAATATTCGGTTCTTACAAGACCAGTTGACAGGTCTCCACTGGCTCCGAGTGGTCATGAAATTAATGGGTGGCTGGATCTGTTCTGGAAATCTACACAAGCAAGGTCACCGCTGGCCGTCTTTGTGAGGCTGTGGGATAAGAGGGTTGCAGATTATTTGGGCCTGTATCACAGCCGGAAGGAGGACAAACAGCCCCACAGAGGTCCTTTGTGTCCTATTCCTCACTCAGCTTTAGTCAATTAGGATCTTGACCTTGAAGGACTGCCCCTCAGGGACATGCGCACTGAGCATAAAGGCGGTGCCTTCTAAAAGCGAGCCCAAAGAAGCAACTCACTGTTCACGATTGCAAACACAGTTCTCCTCCATACATGTCGGAGTATCGGCTCTGCAGGGCCTGGGCTCGCTAACAGAGCTCTGGCTCTCCAGGGTCCGGAGTTCGCTGGGGGGTCAGGGCGTCTGGAGGAGGAGAGAATGGGCACGGGCTCCTGGTGCCGCTCCAGCGGGGCGGGCCCCCCTTGCACCTACAGTAACGGTGAAAACAGCACTTGTCACTTTGCAGACGGACACCAGATAGTATGCCACATGCTCTATGTGTACAAAATAAACATTTCTTTTCATTTACTCAGTTCATTCCTGACTCCGTGTGCTTACTCAGCCCGGCGGCTGGGAATGCCGAGTCAGCTATCGCTGAGTCCCCTCCCCCCACCTGGCATGTTGAGCCGTCATCCGTCTGCCCCCCACCCCGTCACCACTGAGACGCCTGCTGGTCCGGGCCACGCTGCCCATCGCGCCCTATGACTGCACTCCTTTTGTGCACACTTGGCCCTGGGGACCCTTTGGTGAGGCCGGGGGCCCAGGGCCGTTCCCTTAGGCCCTCGGTGCTGCGTGTCCAGCCCTACAAGCCCGAGGACTCGGTCAGACGTTGCCCACTTTCTAAGACCCTTCCCTGCTCTCTCCCCATTGAGCTCCAATGCATTTGTCTCCTCCCTTTGCCGCATCAGACCACCGGCATTGTCTACACAAAGGATGTGTTATAGGTTGGGACAAAAAGTGGGAGAGAAAGTGGGAGAGAAAATGGGAGGAGCCTTGACCTCAGACGGTTTCTGCTTCCCCCTTGTAAAATCTCCAGAGAGAACACCCAGTGGCTCCTGCCGGAGCTGGAGGCAAGGAAAGAACAGAGAGAGCAAGGCCGATGTCAGTGATCCCCAGTCCCGTCCCTCTGCACAGGCGAGACCTCCATGCTACGGATGGAGAAACTGAGGCTTGGAGCTCTGTGTTATCTATGCCCTAGCGGTAGAAAGTCCATTGTTTCCCCCACAGGCTCTTCCTCCCTCCGAACTACACTAGAACTTGATGCATCCCCAAAGGGGTAAATCTTTGATCTGATCAGGGAGCCCCATCAGTTCAACTGCCTTGCCTCCTAGTTGCCACATGGTGTCGCTGTGGTAACTTAGCCCTGCATTGGCCAAACCCCAGCAGAGGCGGGGCAGGACCTCCCTGCCCTCCTAGGACCAAGCTTAACCCCAGGTTGCACCTCTTACTGCCCAGCAGTGTCCACTCCCGAGCGCAGCGGCCCTGGATACCTGCATCCAGATTGGTTCCAGGTCCACCGCCCACCATCCTGTGGAGACTCCCTTCCCCTTCCGGGGTACCAACAGCCAGGGATGGGCAGCCCTGCCCTCTCAAGCCCTCGAAACATAACAGATCTTATCACGCAAACTTTTTGCACGTCATGGAGCTGTGAGGTTGCCCCAGAGGGAATTAGGTAACAGATTGCTGGGTAGTAGCCACTCCTGTGCTGCAACATTGTGCTTGCTCACTGGTCCAAGAAAAGCTGTAGGCAATACTTCCGAGATGATGGACTTTTCCGGTGAATTTCTGGCACCTTTGTCACTGAAGACGGAGGGATGGAAACTCAACAGCCTAGAGTCTTAGCTGTCGTCCCTGGTTCTTCACCTACCAGGCGGGTTAAAACAGATCGTAGGTCTTTCCTCCAGAGATTCCGAGTTGGTAGGGCTGGGCTGGGGCCCGAGAACGAGCATTTATAACAAGTTCCCAGGCAACACAGGCGCTGCTGACCTGGGACTATGCTTGAGAACTGCTGCATGAGGGACACAGGCTCAGTGACGTTGGAGATGAGAAGAAGTGGCCTTCTGTGAGGGCTGGACTGGACAAGGAGACGCTCTCGGCAGCCACGGGGAGCTGGAACCGAAGGGGACTGCCCCAGAGGCAGTCCGGGTAGGGGCGGGATTCCTGAACTGGAGCCCTGTGGCTGTGCGGGGAGTGAGCCTGGACCAGCGTGGTGGGTGTTGACTACACACAAAACTGGGGGACTGAGCCAGGTGGAGGAGCCCTTGGGGGTCAGGTTAGAGGCTGAGACGTGTCCTGCCGGTGACAGGAAGTGGGGAAGCGCTCTGTGGTGGGTTGGTCTGAATTTAAACAAGGGTTCACGCATGCAAGGAAATCCACCCAGAAGATGAGTTCAGGGGCTCCAACTGGAGCACAGAAGGGGGAGGCTGGGAGGGCAGGAAGGGTGGTGGTCCGGGGACAATTCCCAGGTAGAACCCTGGATCACTGGATCAGAAACCCTGGGGCGTGGCGGCAGCCATCTGTGTTTCCACGAGCCCTCCGGGGACTCTGCTGCCGCTGGACTAGATACTCAGGGAAGGGGCGGGTATTGAACTGAGTTTGGAATGGTAATGAGGAGGCGGGCGTGGGGAGATGAGGTGGGGGACAAGCAGGGCAGAGGGCTTGGGGTGGGAGTGAGTTCGGTGTTAGACTCGGGGAGACCGAGGATATAGGGAGAGGTGCGGAGGAGGGCGGGGCCTCAGAGGCCGTGGAGAGAAATTCAGGTTCAGGTGACATGCACTGATACGTGCTCTCAGAGGGCCTCTCTGGCTGCTGGTGGACAGTGCAAGGGGGCGAGACTGGAGGCCAGGAGGTCAGGGAAGAGGCTGCTGCAGGCCCCAGGTGGGTGAGAGGGGCGCCTTGACCCAGGGCAGGCTTTTTCAGCCTTATTTTCATGGTCTCTCCCCCCACCTCCCTCTCCCACCCCAGGAACCTCTGCAGACATTTTATTACGGATTGCCCACCCCTCCCCAAGAAATGTCATTACCATCGATATACATACAGCACATGCTTACATACTGTGGTCTTTGGACCAGACACTCCCACTGTCATAGCTAAGACTTTTCACCCCTCTTGAGAGCCAGTTTTCGCCCGTCTGGGGAGAAACGGTGATGTAGGCAGTGACGGCGATAGCACAGGGAGAACAGTGATGGCGGAGAAACGAGGGTAGCTCTGCATGTGTGGGGCCCTGGGAGCTGGAGATGTCAGGA